GTGTTTCTGCGCAGGGTGTGTGCTGTGTCAGAGTTAATTGATGATGGTGCATTTAGATCAGGGTAAAAAGAGCAACCTCAGCCCCTGTAGGCCAGCTGGCTCCGTGCTTCGGGCCTGCTGACGGGGAGAGAGATATTTTTTCTTTTTTCTTTTGTAATCCACTTGAAAGGACTGAGCAAGAGCTCATCCTCAAAGCAAAAGCTCACGGTTGGACTTGATGTTCTTCAGGTGACCAATACCACATTACACTGGCCGCCGGTGCAGGAGCCAGCGTTGAGACTGCTCTTCGCTGTTTGAGTCGTTCTGCTAAAACGCAAACATCGCTTCTGCATCCTGAATCCCTGGAGAGACTTGATAAGGAATGGATCCGTTTTCTGAGAAAAAAACGAACTTAAACCCTCGCCACAGACATGGACGTAGTAGATGGCCGTCATTGGACAGCTTGAACCAGGAGGATGTGTGCTGTGTGACTGAACTGCCAGCCTCATTGGCTGAGAGCTACATTTGATACAACATGAAGAGCCTCACAATACGTGGTCAATAAACGAGCCCTCTCAGCCCGAGACCATTTTTTTAAAATATTGTTTGACGTTTTGGTTGGTTTCACTGCTGTTTTTAGAGCCGTTTTTAGGTTGTTTGCAGACGTTTGTCTCGTATTATATGCAATCATGTTCAGAGCCCTACAACTCTGCTACCTTTTTTATTTATTGTTTGCATTTGAAAACTCAAGAGGAGGAAGAAAAGCCAATTGCCGTCCAGGCCAAGGCAGAATACATAATAAAATCCAACCACTGATCAACAGTTTTCAGACCTCTGTGAGATTACAATGTGTCTTCAGGGTGCTTTTCACCGTATGTTTGTAGTAATGACTGTATGTGCTCATTGAGAATGGTACAAATTACGCTTACTGCAGGTATAAAGGAAGTGGCATCCTGTACACAGACCGTTCTGCAGCAGTTGAACTTTCATAAGGAAATCTCTATTAATATGACCTAAATCAAAGTCAGCAGTAAGCTTAGTCTTGTTCTGAGAATAACCAGCCCTTGGGAAACAGTCTAATAGGTGCTTGAAATTTTGATCCGCTAACATGAGCTTCTTTTCTCGTTTGTGGTTTGTTGTTTTGGCTGACTTGAACATAGACTTTCAGTATAATGTTACACATGGCCTCAGGTTTGGTACTGAAATAAAGCAATCCGTTTGGTTGAGTGTTGTAAAATGTTAGTTTTTCTGTTGAATTTGTTTGGTCTTGGTTTCTTTTCCCTCTTCGTAATTTTTTTAACAAAGCTTTCCAGTTATCTGTGAATACTAACTGAAGTAAATAAAAGCGAAAGCCAGGGAAATAATAATATAATGTCTTTTTATGTGAGCTAATAGTACAGTTATGCAGATTTCAGGCCCTCAGTATAGGCAGTGTTGAACACTCAAGTTATTACATTTTTTCCCTTCCTGTCCCTCACTAATGTCACCACTTCTGCTAACTGGCTGAACGCTGGCTGGACTTCAGTAACACGTATCATTGTTTCAAGTTGCTGTACCCGAGCAAATCAACACTAAAATGCTCTGTGGTTTGTTTAATAAGTTGTCAATGTTTTTTCTGCTCTTTTGTACACAGGGATAAATGTGTCTCTCTGTCAGTGGTTCTTGGGATGTCACAGACTGTGTACATAACCATGGATGTCTGGGTCCATTCAAAGAAAGTTGTAAAAATGTCAATGTTTGTGTCAATAATTCTTATATTATTAATGATAATTATAGCAACTATAATAATGATATAACAGTAGTGTTTTCATAACTGTCAGCATTATATGATGCCATTTTGTCATTGTCGACATTAGATGAGATTTTGGATCCTCACATGGTTTAGAGATCATTTAAGGTCATGGGTAGCTGTTAGTGTGTCTGTGTATATTTATGTAAATGAGCAATACAAGAATTTACCAAAACTATGTTTTCACATTTCTCTGTATAGTGACATACTGTAAATCGAACCTCAGCAGTAATAACAGTGATAACAATCCATAGAAATAATGAAGCTTATAATAAGGTAAAGAACAAATCAATGTTTGTATTTTAAAAATATTGTATTTAAAAGATTAAATTCTATTTTTTACTCAATTTGCTGATGTTTATTAATATTATTTGTTTTTTTTCTTTTTGTGTGTGGGTTTCAGTCTAATGATTGTGAATGTCTCTGTGTGCTGTTCTCTTTTTTGTAAAGCTCCATAGTTCAGCAGTAGTGACTATATTTCAGCAATTTGTTCATATTGAATCACTGTGATGAAAAGGCAAACACTAAAACACCACAGGAATATAGGGGTATTTTAAGATATTGTCGGTGTCTTGTGTTTTGTAATAAATTAACACACGTCAGTATTTGCCTTTCGCTCTGTCCTTTGTAATGGTCTCGTTTGTTTGCTTGTTTTTTGTGAGTTGTAACTTCAGTGCTACATGGTGCCAAAACTTATTTCTGACAGTCATCATGAAACAGGATGTGTAGATACTTCTTCAAAAGTGTTGAGAAAGAAAGGACTTATTTTACATAAGCAGCGTATATGAGGATGAATTATGTAAGTGCAGTTACATATAAATTTCATTAGTTATACTGATTTTAGGTACTACTATTAAGCCTGACTCTGAGTTTCCAGTTGGACCTGTATGAGAGACTCTGTGCTGGACTGTCCACCACATCTGAGTACAAACAGCACCGTTATCACCACAGTAGATTATTAGCTAATCCATTAATCAGGTCATCATCAGATAAATGATAACAAATAACACCCTAAACATGATGCTACTGTGTAACTGCTTGCATAAACAGACAATGCAGAGCAGAAGCTGCAAAGAAAAAAAACTATGAATGACATGCAGGTGCACAAGCTGCTGAACAGGAACGCTTTCTAGGGGTGGATGGGTGGATCAATACTAAAGGCAGAACACCACATAATTTGGAGTTATGTAACTCTATTAACAGTCAGTTTATATGGTATTTATTTATTTTAATGTCTTTGAAATCTGCTTTTTAATGCCTTCAATGCCAGCTTACTGGTTTCCTCTGTAGAAAACAAATTCCTAATTTTATGCGCACTATAAGATTTAAAAATATTGGTGTCTAGGTATTAGTATTGGTGTTACTTGGTATTGGATCAAAAAGAAAACCAGTGGTATCATCCATCCACAGAGACACTGTTTGCTGTTATTCTTTTCCTGACATTGTCCTACATGGGCTATAATGCTAGCTTGTTAATTAGTGACTAAAGTGAACACAGCAACACATTTATATTTTAATTTATAAAGAAGCATAAAACTTGGACTGATGACTATAATGATACTAACAGCCACACTGGTCCAATAAATCACTTTTGAGACCCATGTGATTTCTCTCTTTATTCTTTTAAGGAATATTAATTTTCAAACTCAGTACATCTGAGTATGTCTAACCAGCTTATCCTAGCAGACTGAATAACAGTCTGGCTAGCCTATCCTAGCAGACTGAACGACTCTCTGGCTAGCTTATCCTAGCAGACTGAACGACTCTCTGGCTAGCTTATCCTAGCAGACTGAATGACTGTTTGGCTAGCTTATCCAAGCAGACTGAACGACTCTCTGGCTAGCTTATCCAAGCAGACTGAACGACTCTCTGGCTAGCTTATCCAAGCAGACTGAACGACTGTCTGGCTAGCTTATCCTAGCAGACTGAACGACTGTCTGGCTAGTTTATCCTAGCAGACTGAACGACTGTTTGGCTAGCTTATCCAAGCAGACTGAACGACTCTCTGGCTAGCTTATCCTAGCAGACTGAATGACTGTCTGGCCAGCTTATCCTAGCAGACTGAACGACTGTCTGGCTAGCTTATCCTAGCAGACTGAACAACTGTCTGGCTAGCGTATCCTAGCAGACTGAACGACTCTCTGGCTAGTTTATTCTAGCAGACTGAATAACAGTCTGGCTAGCTTATTCTAGCAGACTGAATAACAGTCTGGCTATCTTATCCTAGCAGACTGAACGACTCTCTGGCTATCTTATCCAAGCAGACTGAACGACTGTCTGGCTATCTTATCCTAGCAGACTGAACGACTGTCTGGCTAGCTTATCCTAGCAGACTGAACAACTGTCTGGCTAGCGTATCCTAGCAGACTGAATGACTCTCTGGCTATCTTATCCTAGCAGACTGAACAACTGTCTGGCTAGCTTATCCTAGCAGACTGAATAACAGTCTGACTAGCTTATCCTAGCAGACTGAATGACTCTCTTGCTAGCTTATCCTAATAGACTGAACAACTGTCTGGCTAGCTTATCCTAGCAGACTGAATGACTCTCTGGCTAGCTTATCCTAATAGACTGAACAGCTGTCTGGCTAGTGTATCCTAGCAGACTGAACAACTGTCTGGCTAGCTTATCCTAACAGACTGAACAACTCTCCGGCTAGCTTATTGGCTGACTAGCTGACTGGTTACCTCCTGATCTGATTGGATGGTTTACTGTCTAACTAGCCGACTGGTTGTCTGGTTGACTGGACGCTCCCCACTACGCCGCTGTCTGTTGTTTCCTCTTCATATAAAAGCCATGAATAACAGTCTGGCTAGCTTATCCTAGCAGACTGAACGACTGTCTGGCTAGCTTATCCTAGCAGACTGAACGACTCTCTGGCTAGCTTATCCTAGCAGACTGAACGACTCTCTGACTAGCTTATCCAAGCAGACTGAACGACTCTCTGGCTAGCTTATCCTAGCAGACTGAACGACTCTCTGACTAGCTTATCCAAGCAGACTGAACGACTCTCTGGCTAGCTTATCCTAGCAGACTGAACGACTCTCTGGCTAGCTTATCCTAGCAGACTGAACGACTCTCTTGCTAGCTTACCCTAGCAGACTGAATAACAGTCTGGCTAGCTTATCCTAGCAGACTCAACGACTCTCTGGCTAGCTTATTGGCTGACTAGTTCTAGCTGACTGAATAACTGGCCAGCTCATTGGCTGACTAACTGACTGGTTAGTTCCTGATCTGATTGGATGGTTTACTGTCTGACTAACTAGCCGACTGGTCGTCTGGTTGACTGAACGCTCCCCACTACGCCGCTGTCTGTTGTTTCCTCTTCATATAAAAGCCAATGATCACTATAGCAGCGTTACTCAGAGGAAGCCGAGCCGCCTGCTGCGTTAGACAGCTCCACACCACACTCACCGTAAACATGCCCATCCAGGTAAGAGGAGATCCTGGAGCCGTACGACGGTGTAAAGGCTTTACAATAGCTCTGTCTGTACACATGATCTTGGTTGGCTTGTCGTTATTACTTTGTTTATTCATTCCAGTTTAAAATGTGCGCTGGATTCGCTCTGTCTGGCGGCCATGCTGACCGAGTTGCGTATTTTTCTAGCTAACGATAGCTGCATTTGTAGTGTTTTGCCACGGGGGCAAAACACTACAAATGTGAGGGATTCACCACTAATAGTTCAGAGACTTTTTCATTCGCTACTGTTTGACTTAAAAAAAATGCTCTAGAGTTTTGGTTCAATCAGTGCAGACTGTCCTGTATTTCTGTGTCGACGCCTGACCTATATAAAGCTGTTGTCACTTATTTTTGTCAGAAGTGCTCCTTAGCTGTCGTTTATGGACGCGCCTAAAACAGCGTCTCGCCGATGAACCGTTTCATAACAATCACTGGAGCGTCCGGCGCTCTGCTCTCACTTCTGTGAAGTCTATGACGCTCTATCGTTAGCGTGTAGCATGAAAGCCTAATATCAGGATTCAGTGCGAATTTGCTATAAAATAAAGCAGTATACAGAATTAAAAGTTGAAACACAGTGGCTCCATCATCATTAAATGCGCATGTATGTTGACAGTAGCGACGCGTTGCTGTCTGAAACAGCTGCTGGTTTCAGCTAAGCCACTTTACTCCAGGGGACGCCGTGCAAACTCATCTTTGGTGCCTAATCATGTCCTCCTCTGTGTCAGGTTGGCGAGAGTCTCCCAGCTGTGGAGGTCCAGGAGGGAAGCCCAGACCAAAAAGTATCTATGGATCAGCTCTTCAAGGGGAAAAAGGGAGTTCTGTTTGCAGTGCCAGGGGCTTTTACTCCTGGATGCTCCAAGGTAGGTTAGCCTTACACAGCCACACAGTTCACATCACACACTTTGACTCCTCTTTTTTACAATAAAGGATTCTGTTACTCTGCTTAATTAATCCATGTTGCACCTGACAAAGCAATACACTAATTAAGTATCCTGACACTCCTCTTTTAAGATGATCCCTCTGCTCACGCAGGAATTCATTTGCACAGATACAGCTTATATAATCTCCTTAGAGAACCATTCCCAACAGAGTGGGGTGGTCTGGACCGGACCAGCCACATGAGCCTAAGGTCATCGTGCTCAATGCCAAATACTAGATAGAGGGGTAAAATGCCCCCAGCATTGGGCTGTGGAGCAGTGTGTTAACATCAGTCTACAATGTACATACACAGCATCTTGGCTGTGCTCTTCTGTACAGTCTTGTTTCTGTGGTTCTGACCCACCTGTCTGTCTCAGACCCATCTCCCAGGGTTCGTCCAGGAGGCCGAACAGCTGAAGAGTAAAGGTGTGCAGGAGGTGGCCTGCGTCTCCGTGAATGACGCTTTTGTCATGGCTGCGTGGGGCAAGGAGCACGGCACAGATGGCAAGGTGAGCAGGGAGCAGCCATGGAAAGCTAATAGAAAAGAGTTTTTTGGTTGTATCCAGATTGTTGAGAAGTTTGAGTAGCATACAAAGTCACTGCCAGTTCATAAGTATGGAATCACAGTTACTTAATTTTTTTTTCTAGAAGTATTCTTATAAACATTAAACATCAGTGAGAGCGCAGTTTCATTCACTGTTCTGTCAAAAGCTTATAAGGAAACAAGGATCACATGTAAGGAAACAGGCAGTGGGCTGACGTGAGATGCTGGACAGGTTTAACAACTTACTGTTCAACTGAGAGTTGGCTTATTGATTGTATGTCGTAATCATTTTTGGCGGTCACCTTCCTCGTAAAATCCCCTTTCTCAACCTCCAACACCTTGCAAGGTGCCAGCAAATGTGAGGCATTTTCAGAGTTAAAAGGATCTTTGCCTGAAGGAACAAAACCCTTCAATTGTAAACCTACAAAGTGCACCTATAAGTTAGGTGTACTTAGTAACTGGCAAATATACAATAAACTGGCAACTTGTGTAGATTTAGCAGTTTAAAAATATTATTTCCTCATAGGTGCGAATGCTGGCAGACCCCACAGGAGCTTTCACTGCGGTAAGATTCCTCATGCTTTTGATGTTCCATCACCACCGATTCTCCTAAGCAATACAGTTGACAGAAAAGCTTATGGAAATTCCCATCCAATTTTTTCCCGACCACATTTATGCAATAGATTATGTAATAGAAGTGTTTTGCAACATTGGACTCTTTTCCCCCCCCACATGCTTGTAGCTTTATGTGGTGTTGTGTATGGGTTGTAACTATAGATTATGCCCTCCTTTTACAGGCAGTTGATCTCTTTCTGGATAATGATGAGATTATCCAGGTGCTCGGTAACAAGAGATCCAAAAGGTGAGAATTTGTGATTTAGTAAATATTTTTGCTTACTGAATGTGTACACTTATCTTAACCTGATCCTTGGTTTACTTCTAGTGGATTTGAGACACCTGCATTTACACCAAAACTGTCATAATAAAAGACTATAAATGTTCTTAATAATTACCAATATTTTGCTCTCACAACATACAAGCTCTCTGAAAGCAATAACCAAAACATTTACTGCCAACACAGTGTAGAATTTAATCCTTTAAAGAAAAAACAGTTCCCCCTTATTAAATTAATTAGGGGGTGTTTCACAGAACAGGATTTCTTAAAGCAGAAGTGAGGACTGTCCAGTAGGACCTGCACTGGGCTCTCCTCCTGCTGGTCAGATTTGACTTTTGGCTTAAATTGTCTGACTGTGAAACCCTGTTTTGTGAACGACACCCCAGAGGTCTTCCACTTGATGCTTGAAGAATCTTTATCTAGCTTGTATTGAGGACTGAAACAAAAATGTGGCAGTCCTTTCATTTAAGTTCCTGCGTAATGCAAAAGTGCTGATGTTCTACTTACAGATACGCCATGCTGGTTGAGGACGGTGTGGTGAAGAAGCTTAATGTGGAGCCTGATGGCACTGGCCTCACCTGCAGCTTAGCCTCCAACATCCTCTCTGAACTAGTCTAAAACAGTCTGCAACTATTCTGACCAACGCACACCGATCCGTAGTTACTGTAACTGTTACACCTCTCTTCGTAGATCACTTCTAGTTCTGTGTTTAAAAAACAAAGCCAAAAAGGCGTATCAGTAGTAATGCACCCAAAGAAAAAGGTACAGCAGTAAGCCTATATTTTTTAGTAGACAATCTTGCAAGGAAAGGTGCTTCCCTGTAGAAGAGTGCTTAAGGGCTTTATACAGGAATATACTGGATTTCTGTCTAAGCGCACAATATAAACTCAAAGCGTACAAATGTTATGATGAAACTTTGCACAACACCACTGTTCCTTTCAATACATTTGTTACTTCTCCAACAATAAACTCCTTAGAACCTTTGCATTCCAGTGAAACCCATGTTGCATTATTATCTTGATATAACTGCTCTTTGACTCTTGCAGATTTGTGGTTTCTAGAAAATATTCAACCAAAATGACAAGTTATGAGTTTTTGCAGTAAATTAATGAATACTCCTCTTTTCCTTTTAACATGTTTAATTAAGTAGCTACAGTCACAAACAAGCTTTACAAGCTGGTACACTATGTGTAAATAGTTGAGGGAAAAAAGCAGCACCAAAAATAATCAAATCAGTATTTTAATAATAATTACATCAGCTACAAAGACTAAGTCAAAGCGATGTTCTTAAGCTCACATAGGGACAAAACAATATTCAATTAAAAAAAAATCACTTTATGAAAGCGACATCTGGGATCTTTCCTTGGACCTTGTGGGGAAGGAGAGGACTTAGCAGAGCACAGAAAAATGGACACATTTACACTGTTGTGTAGGCATAAACAAAATTTCAAGAATGAAATGCTAAAAGTACCTTAAGGTCTGTGAAGATCTGAGCAGCTCTGTCAAAATCCCAGTCATTGTCTTGGAGGCACCTGCAAAAAGACAAGAATTTTAATAATAACTGCAATAATTCAATAATGTTTGCAATTTTAATTGTTGCCCTTGCACTACACCTTGAATCCTTTACAACTACCAATTCATGGTTTTGTATAAAAACTGCTTTCCATCCAAACTTCAGATTTTTTGCTGCTTAAAGTTCTTCTTAAATATACATTTTACAGCAGACTGCTAAATAGATTTAGAGAGATTGGACTAGGTAGATTTTCCCCTTCATAGCTAGGGCCCTAACACATTTTTTTTTTCATTTCAGAATTCAGGTTATTTGAAGAAAATAACCAACGAAATGGGTCACACAACGTAGATCTAAAATTAATTTGTTAGTGTGAACCAGATGTTGAAACATTTTAATGTCAGCTTATCTACAAGCATATCAGACAAGCAGCGATCACTAAATTGCTGGAGATACTGGATGCCCTTTGAGTCAAAGCTGTCTAAATACTGACAAAAGAGAAGGCAAGTATTTGATCACAGGGACACCACAAGAAGTTTAACACCATCAATGGATGCTTAATGCTTATATTTAACCATTTAAGTTTATTCACAATGTACAGTAGACTAGGCTCCTATTCTGAACCTCTGCAATTCAAAGAGTGTGCAAGTAATTGCTGTGCAATGTAGCAATTTCATGAATTGTTGCAATCCACGAAATGCATATTTTTAAGAAACCAAGTCCATGAAAATAACCACACTTTGGATGACTGTGAATTTGGTTATTGGGTTTCCTATACTTACTTCTGAGACCACTCCAAGTTCATGCCAGACTTCAGTGAGAAAGCAGAGAGCATTTCCTGCTGTGTGGCAGACAGTGTGGGCACAGGGCTGCTCGAGGGGGTTGGGGCCGGGGCCACAAACGCCCGCCGAATCTCCTCCGTTGTGGCGTTCCGGATAAACATCTCATCATTCACAATACAGAGACTGAGCACAGAGGACAAGATTCGCATCAACAATAGCAAAAGCCAAGGTCTTTTTGCCTTCATGTAGAAAAAAAGAAGCATCCATATCAAAAGATAAAATAAAAGCGCCTTACGTTCCATTTCCAGGAGACACAGCGATGAAAACCCGAGAGAATGCTCTGAATGAGTCTCGGGATTTACCATCCACTTGAAAGAAGAGATAAAGGCAAACTTAGAAGTTACACACATTATAGAATAGACTATATTTAATGGACTTTTATATTCATTTTTGAATCAAAGATCTTAGTCATACCTTCTTTGAACACTCCACTGACCGTGAATGACAACAGTGTATTCTAAGACAGAAAAGGAGAACAGTCAGGCCGAATAAACACTGAAGGCTGTCTATATCTCTAGTATGGTAATATTTACTCACAGTGTAGGTGTTGACGTCAACATTAAAAGAGGCAATATCGTGGTGGGTTTTTGGAAGCTCGTTCAGGAATGCAACAACATTCAGTCGCGTGTGCTTAAGCAAGCGAAACCGTGTGGCTGAAGGGCCAGAGTAATAGGATTTCATTTAGAATTGTTATACAATGGTTACAGGTTTACTCTGTAAAAGGCTTAAGACTTTTTCCTACTGCCTAAAATACTGTCATCAGACTTACTGGAATCTCTCACTCGTTTGATATTGCGACTGTCCTTCTGGTACTCTCCCAAACTGCATCTACGAGATGAAAAAGGAGAAATGCAATGCTTAAATGAAAAAAAACTATAGGTGACAGCAAATAAGAAAAATTAAAGATGACAGTAGGAGAACAGACTAGTATGAAGCAAGTATACTGTACTTGGAAGGGTTCTGCATGGAGAAAGGAATGATGAGTGAGAAAGTCGCTCCATCATGATAAGCATCAAGCAGGGGCTGTCTGTCCGCAGAGTCGTATATAGTGTAATACCTGGTAGAGGTGAGGCGGGGAAACACAATTAGCTTCAGTCATGACCCATATTCAAATTCAACCTAGACCGAACGTGGGCAGAGACAAACTTACTGTTGAAGGAAGCACAAGATGAGGGTTTTGAGTTCTTCTGAGCAGAAGTAACTGGACTGAGTTTTAAAAATGTAAACAGATTAGAAACAAGAACATACCAAAAAACAGGACAAAAAAACTTCATCTGAAGATCACATTGTAAAGTCAGTCAGTACCTTGCATGGGGGCAAAACCGGAGGAGCAACCTCCAGATCAAAGCCAATGGGAGCAGGAAGAACATGTCCATCCTATGAAATAAAAGTGGGACAATGGAAAGGTGAGAGACATCAGAAACAAACCTTTGCTAAAGAAATATGAGACGAACTAGGCAAGGACTGTCAAGTTCAGGCTCTATTGTGTCCCACTAACTGCTACCAACAAAGCCATCGTCGACTTTGTCAGGTTCACTCTGATAAACTAGAGATGTGTGGGGCCTACCAGTTTGAGCAGTCTGGGGAACCTCTCCCGTATGGCACTGTCCAACAATCACAAAGACAGAAGAAGACAAAAGAGAATGACCATTATGCAGACAGAACACTAGAGAGCAGCAACTTCCTCTCCCACTGCCCACACACAACCACACATTCACAGCTTCAACGTCAAAAGCACTGCATCTATAAAATTAAATATGGGTTTACACACATCACAGATTACTAACTCTTGATTAAACATCAAACACACACACACACACACACACACACACACACACATTTTACCACAGCCAAACAATCCTTTATCTTCCAAAAAGCCTAAGTTTTCTGAAACACTATAAACATCCAACAAGAGTATGGTACTTACCCCTCCACAATACTCACCACCGGCCCCACTACACGCCGAAACACACTGACACACGCTGGCTCTGAGGGGTAGGGTTGGGGGAGAGGGAGTGTGTGGGGTAGTGGTGGTGGTTGGTTGTTAACACTCACACCAGTGAGACACAGTCAGTACTTTCAGGCGCATAGGGAGTTGACTGAGGACTTTCAGGGGCCGTGGTGAGTTCATGCCATTACTACACGACCATTTCAGGTCAACTATTAACTGCTGGCTTTAGCAAGCATGAGTACAGCAATGGTTTTCTTGCTGAAATGCTGTGAGGAGGACGTTTGGCAGTTGAAATAGAAAGATTTTAAAGTTCAATTACATGGTTAATGAAATATTGTCTATGAATATCACAAACTCCGTCTGCTATGTTCAAATTTGTGTGGGAGCTGCATGTAAGAAGTACTTATAAATACTGCATATGCCACAATTTACAGAACAAATGCCAATTTATTAACATGGGGCCTAACACTGATATCTGAGAGGTCATTAGAAGCAAAGGCAGGAAAAAAAAGAAGGCTTACTGAGCAGAGAAGCAAAAGATTAACAAAAAAAAAAGACATTTGAAAAGGAAGAGAATTTTGAAGAAATAAAAAGAAAAAAAAGCAATGAAGTTGGACTCTGAGTTTCTATACAGAATACTGCTAATGCTAAACATTGTAAACGTGGACATCAAAGGACAAAAGTTTCTCGAACCAACCTAATACATTTGGACCCTACCATTGCATTTAAAAATGGCAGGGTTTTCTTTCTAGAAAAAGAATGAAACTACAGAGTTTTGACGAAGCCTACTTATCTATGTCTAATTAAATGCTATCCTAGGTTTACTGGAATTTAAGAACATGATGTTTACTGTAATCCTGAGAACATGGTCTCGAAGCACACGTTCAATAGTGTTCCTCAGGTTTAGATACAGCCCAGAGAGAGAGAGCTTTTCACTCTTTTTTGAATATTCATGCTGTTCAGCATTGTGGACATGGAGTTGTTCTTCCTGCTTTATGCAACAAACCTCACAGTGAGGTTTTTAGGGTCACAATGTTGCTGAGCCCTGCATGGCTTAAGGGCTTTTCTTAAAAACCTGCTCCCTCTCCTCCACCTCTCAAGAGCCTTTCTCATGGAAATGACAGCAATGCGCTTTTTCCTCCTCTTCTTTTCTTCTTTTTTAGTGAAACTCATCTTTTTTTCCTACTTTGTGTGCTGTGGCCAGTTTTGCGGCTGTGCCTGCCTTAGGTTGTCCCTGGTTTGTGGTGGGATCTTACCCGTCTTTGGCTAACCAGCCTTCCTCACTGGCCAATCAGCAGCTTCCCAGACTTAAGCCCAACCCAATGAGGTGTGGAGGGGTGAATGAGGTAGCACCATCACGGAGCGGTAGAAAGTACGTGAGCACTTGAAAGTGCATTATCTTCTGAGATACGTTCTTTTGTTCTCCTCTAGAGGCAGCTTAGGCCCGATGCTCTCAGGGTAAAGAGGCATTGGGCATTCTGAGCAGTCAAATACATCCTGGTTGCAGAAAGAGCCACAGGTGCTGTGGACCTAAGCAAGATTTTCAGAGGAATTCAATGTTTATCTAATACTACAGCTATGAGTTTATGAGCAGTAACCTGTAAAGAAAGCAACAGGGCCAAGTGCACTGCTGGTCAGAGTGAGTTCTTGAAAAATGAATAGTGAAAGCGTGTTTTTATTTAAA